GTTTCAACTTTCGGAATCACATTTCAACCTTGATAACACAAAAGTTAATTCTCAATCAAACCTCTTCATTTTCCAAACCTCAACTTTTTCAACTTTCCAAAAATACCTCAAATTACCTACGGGCCTCCAAATCCGAATCTGCATGCACGCCTAAGCCCAAAATCACCATACGAAGCTACTGACATCATCCAAAATTCGTTCCGGAGTCGTTTATGCAAAAGTCAAGTTCCGATCAAATTCTCACTGCTTAAGCTTCCAAAACTAGATTCCTTCTTCCAATTCGACTCCGATTCATCCTGAAACAGAATCCAACCATGCACGCAAGTCTATACACATAATATGAAGCTACTTGTGACCTCAAACTGCTGAATCGGATGCAATTGCTCAAAGCGACCAGTCAGGTCGTTACATCCTCCTCCAATTAAACATACGTTCGTCCTCGAACGTGACCAGAGTCATTCCAAAGCCATCAAACCACTGCATAAGCCCACTATACATATACCTGGGGTGATTCCCCATTACCCAAACATATACAGGAATGACAATGTAACTTAACTGAAGGTCTCACCTCATCATTAGTCTAAAACCTTGGGACAGGACCCAAACCTCAACATCTAAAATTCATCGTAGGACCCGAATCCCATATCATGATACTATATGAACCTAAAAAAATTGAATCGAGCCAAAAATTTCAATCCAAAATATAATTACATGATGTTCCACACACCTCAAATGCCCAACGCAATTCCCTGTGACCACTATATCTGCTCAAATAACATCCTGGATGCTGGCAATACACTTCACATTGAATATAACCTTGTTCCAGACCTCCACAACACTTCCCATGATAAAGAAACATGCGGAAACTCATAGCCGCCCATGAAATCAACAAGTCAAGAAGCTCTCTCGCCCGCCAAGGGCCATTATCCAAATTTTAGCAGAAACATCCTCATACTTCCAAACACTCCTCATCCCAATACCATAGTACTAATCTCATGTCTAAGAACCTCATCTCAACCAATACAAGCATCCCACTAACAACTCATCACGGAACCACACAGATTCTTACACCACACAGCTCGTATACTAAACCAGCAATAACTCAATTATGCAACACAAATAAAAGGAAAGTAAGGTACGAGGATTATCTAACAAGTACAACATGTGTAACAATAAAAGTACAGTTTTCATTAAATCATCCCACAAAGGGAAACAAAACACCAAATAAACACAAGGAAAGGGTATCTCACATAACATCTGCTGCACCGTGCAGCCCACACCCAAATACTCATCAAGCCAAAATGCTCGGATTCACTGATCACATGAATACTGATATCAAGCAGAGCCTAGTGCACCAGTATAACTGTGGGAAAATGAATAGAAATAAATGAATAAACATGGAAGAAAGCAAGCACGACTAAGGTGCAATGAGCAAATCAACATCACGAGGGCTATCTCGCCCGCATTGCCATAAGGCCTGAACGGAATTAAAACAAGCGTGGAGAATAATCATACAACCTCACAGCCCATCACAATATAAGAGAGTATCACATAACAAAGGCTAAGGGCACAAATAATATCCATTCTGCCCGGTAACACAACCATGATGACAATCTCACATGAGCACCCAAACTTGACCTGAAACAAAATGCATATTCTCATTGAGCTTTCAAATAGCCCTCAACTCAAATCTTGATCATTTCCAAATAGGTAAATATCCTTCCAAAAATCTACAACAACCTACCAATTGTGATAGTGAGCAATGATCAAGTCATTCGAATAGGCTTACTATTCATCAATTTTATTTTTTACTTCCCTTTCAAATTTTAATTTCTCATTATTTATATGTTTTAGCATTATTTATACTGTTTTAGAAGTCTTTACAAATTAATATGGGACACACGTGCAACGCACGTATCTAGAAACTAGTTAAGTAAAATAAATTTATTAATTGCATTATTCATAAATAATATATGAGTAAATCCCCATATCTCTTCCTTAAAAAATTATAAATGACAATACGTTTTTAGAATAGTAAAGGCGTGATGAGAAAAAAAAATCTATGTCTTCTTAGCTTTTATAATGCCAAATACTTTTATCAAATCTTTTGACCAAAGTGAAAAATAAAAGGATATAAAAAACATAACAAAGTCTAAACATCAAATACGTATAAATATTATTCTTTTCAATTTTCTTCGTCCTACTAGTTTTTTCCTCTCAACTATTTATATCATCGGTGGAGAAAGGAGTGATAGAATGGGATACTTCCTCCTCTTTTTCTTTCCTTTTCCTGATATTCAAGAAAGAATTACAAGAAAATACACTTGACTTTACACCATAATAAAAAATGGCTCATATTCTTAATTTTATCCGGTTTAGCTTATATTGTACATATTTTGAAAGTACCAGTTCTTGCGAATTCAAAATTTGTATTCTTGCTATCATTGCTTCTAAAAGTTATGGAGTTAAATTTGTGTTCTCACAACCATTGCTTTCACTCTCTCTTCTTCTCACATCTTTTATATATGCTTTAAGGGGTCGTCCGCCATTACTGTTTCTCCACCTGGTTGCATTGTAAAAAAAATTGAAGAGTAGAAGTCCACCATTAAAGGTCATTCAAATCTTTGCTTTAGAAAATAAATTTTTTTGAGTTTATTAGTTGTTTGGATTGGATGTTGTTCCAATTGATTGAAAATATCAAAAAGAGTTCAAAGGTTAAATTTGAAGTGATTTGGAGTAGATTTGAGTTGAATTTCAGAAAAGATGCAAGGAAGAAGACGAAGTAAGTTTTTTGTATAATTATGTATAATAGTGTATATAAGTGTATAAACTCATCTTATACACTTTTATACACCTTTATACAAACGTCTGTAGACGAACTTCTTCCACAATTTTCAATTACAATTCTTGTTCAAAACCAGTCCAAATCTCCATTAAATGACTTCAAATTTTATATACAACCTCCTTATACTATTTCTAACAAGTCTAAATAACACCAACTTCAAATTTCTCACAAAATCAATTTCGGAATTTAAACCCACATATTTAAGCTTGTTAAAAATCTAATTTTCACCGCCCAAATAGATTTGGTTTGTTGAACTCACAGTTACTGATTCGAAAATTAACTTAAAAGCTTGAACAATCTTTTTTAAAAATTAAATGATAATTTTGAGAACCTATTGGAGTTGGATGTTGGATCTTAGCCTATTATTTTTGGGCTAGTTGGTTGTAAATTGAAATATGAGCTATAAAATTGAAAAGTGGGGAGCCCGGTTGTTCTTATATGAAATTTTCCCTATAATCAATCACGGGAAGATAAAAAAATTCAGGGCGACCAATATACCCATTTTTTTTTAAAAAGTTTTAACTTGTACCCACTTCTAATTTTAAACAACTTCAGCCCCCTTTCTCCTCCTCCTCCTCTTCCTCCTCCTCCTCCTCCTCCTCCTCCTCCTTCTTCTTCTTCTTCTTCTTCTTCTTCTTCTTCTTCTTCTTCTTCTTCTTCTTCTTCTTTCTTCTGCTGTTGTTGGTGCTGCTATGAAACTTCAGTTCATGGAATAATTGCCATAAGTATGTTTATCATATTATTTAAAAATAAATTATAAATAATTACGTAAGTTAGTAGACAATAATTTGTGAATATTTCCATGTACGGGAAGTTTAAGGTCACACTTAGTGATTCTTTTCATGATAATTCTGTTCTTTTCACGTTTATTGTTTCCAAAATTTATGATTTAGATACTGTTGGCAATCGGATGATTTATCTAGTATATTAGAAAGCTTTTTCAAAAACTTCAGCTTATATAGTGCTGAAATTTTTACAAATGAACTAAATAACTTCAGCATCTTCTGCTGAAGTTTTTAAAAAAGCTTTAAGACAAAACTAATGAATCCAGGACAAAAAAACTTCAGCTTATTTAGTGCTGAAGTGTTTATAAATGAACTACTGCTGAAATTTTTGAAAAAGCTTAGTGACAAAACTAATGAATTCAAGACCAAAAAAACTTCAGCAAATAGAGAATAAAATTTCAGCTACTATGCTTAAGTTCAACAATTACAAACAAAAATTTCAGAAAATAGATAACAAAACTTCAGCTACTATGCTTAAGTTCAGCAATTACAAGCAAAAACTTCAGCAAATAAAGAACAAAACTTCAGCTACTATGCTTAAGTTCAGCAATTACAAACAAAAATTTCAGCACACTTGGTTCAGCAACTTTTGCTACTTCAGGCCCGTCTACTAGAATGCTGAAGTTTTGCGTGATTGCCTTTGCTACTTCAGCCTCGTATGCTGAAGTTACGCGAAAAGCGGGTACGCTTGCAATTGTTTTTGCAAAACGGATACAAGTTAAAACGTGACCCAAAAAGCGGGTATAGATGCAAATACCCCGTTTCATAATATTGACGCATTCATTTCTTCTTTTTCCTTTTCATAATAATGTTAACTGTGGTAAAGTCACAATATTCCTTTCTTTTCTAGAAAAGTCACCTTAATATTCAGCTGACGGAAAAAAAATGCAAAAGACAAGTTTGCCATGCTACAAATATAATCATTTACTAGTCTTCTTGGAATTTGTTATAGAACTATCTTTCGGAAACTTTATTAATGTTTATACAGTAGAAATAAAGTTATTTTGTTTTACCATCAACTTGAAGAGCATTTCCAACTACTAGCCAGATATATATGCCTTTGCCTTGCAAGTGTTTGTCATAAATGAAAATTGCAACTGATAATCTCAAATTATCTATTTGAAAATTTATTTACTGGTGAGCACAAAAATAACTGATAAATAGACATTGAGCCTAACTCAAATTCAAAACTAGTTCAAAATTGGAGGATTATCCAAGACAATATATACAAAAATAATAGAGTAGGTTCTTTTCTTTTTTTCTTCTTTTTTAATTTTTTGAAAAGAACTTTGATAACCTGTTTTTGCATGTCTTAGCCGAAAATAGAGGGCTGAAATCAAAGCATCAAGATGCACTTTTTAAGCCACATCTAGTCTAAAACCTTTGGTGGGTCAACTTGGAATTGACCTATTCTTTATTGTCAGTTCACCAACATCGAATTGAACGAGTTACATAAACATGGCTAATTTTTACACCTCTAAATTTTTATGTCATGATATATAGGAGCCTAGAAGCTTGTTAACATCCAGTCAATAGTATGAAATGATTAAGATATGTGTATATTCTTGATATACTATATCTCCAAGATTCTCTGCTAATTGGACCAACAGAGAGCACTGAGGAGATTAAATTGGATGCACAATGGGCTTGACCATATTACAAAAGAATTAACTGATAAACTCAGCTGATTCTGTTAGTTCCATTGAATTCCTCTCTATGAAAAAACCAGGCTGTTTTGGTTGAGGAAGAACCAGACCTTCATTTTCCAACCAGAAAACTACTGATGCCATTGTAGGCCTATCCTCTGGTAGTTTTTGGACGCACAACAAACCAACCTGAATGCATCTCAACACTTGAGATTCTGAAAATGATTCTTCCAAACATTCGTCCATCAGTTCCAACGCTTTGCCTTCATTCCAAAGTAACCATGCCTAAAATAACAAACAGAACACGTTTATACAAATGCATTCACAATAGAAACAGCGACTAACCAAACAAAGTTTTGTGCTGTATCTGCTTACATGCCCCAAAAGATTGTGATGATGTTCCAAATGATGAAATTTCCTGTTCCTTCTGCCACTAATTATTTCTAGAATGATTACGCCGATACTGAATACATCTGATTTTACTGAATATTTCCCATCAACAGCATACTCTGGGGACATATATCCGCTGCATCACCTCATAAATAATATAAGTTTATGTACTGATTGAATATAATAAAGATTGTATGCTGAAGGTTTGTAGAACTTACTATGTCCCTATTACTCTCTTAGTTTTTCCTTCCATTTGATCTCCGCCAAAACTTTTGGCAAGGCCGAAATCAGAAATTTTGGCATTCAAGTTGCTATCTAACAAAATGTTGCTGGTCTTGAGGTCTCTGTGAATAATTCTAAATCTTGAGTCCTGGTGAAGATAAAGAAGACCTCGAGATATTCCCATTGCAATTTCAAAGCGGTTTTTCCATGCAAGTGATGCTTTTCTGCTTTGATCTGCACAATGTAGACTTGATCATTGAGGGCTGCAGAGATACTGAGGACTTATCAAATACTAGTAGTTTTTAGTTAATGAAACATGAGAAGCAGACCAAAAATGAAATAGTCCAAGCTAGTGTTTGGCATAAATTCATAAATTAGCATCCTTTCTTCTCCTTCAAGGCAGCAACCCAAAAACTTGACAAGGTTCCTGTGTTGCAGCTTGGAAATGAGAACGATTTCATTTTTTAACTCTTGAAGGCCTTGTCCAGAATTCTTTGATAGCCTCTTAACTGCTATCTCTTGTCCATTTGGTAGGATACCCTGCAATGTTTTTTAGCAACAGTCAAATGAGCCACTTCTAACTAGAGGTTGAAGATCAAAGTTGATTTACCTTGTAAACTGGTCCAAAGCCACCCTCACCAATCACATTAGCAGAAGAGAAGTTTTTAGTGGCACTAGTAACAGTAACTAAATCAAACAATGGCAACTCGGGGTCTTCGTTTCCAACTTCTGCACCTGTCAGTATATATTTGTCGGTCACGAGAATGATATTAATGAGCTCTTCCATAAAATAGATTATCAAAATTCAAAAATAAAGCAACCCAATCTTTTGGTAAAAGTAAAGAATACTAGCTAGATGGAGATTTTCTAATAAAGAATGTTGGACAAGAGTTACCTCTAGTATATTTATCTGTTCTTCTATTCTTTCTTTGGAAGGAAAACCAAGCTACAAAGCTGAGGATAAAAGCTGCTACCACTGCTGAAATGATCGCAATCAGGACTGAACTCTTTCTCCTCTTATTCCTGTCTGAATCTGTTCAATAATTATTCCATAAGCAGTCTTCAATTTACACATGAATTGGCCATATCAGTATGAATTGTTTCAGTGAGTTATTTTTATGTTGTTATTGAACCTCTTCCCCTAAGCTAGTAATGCTTTCAGGTACTGGACTTCCGTCATCTACATTCGCGCTGCTTCGCCTAGCTACATGGTGCTTCTACAAAGAGAGTTGAAGCACCTACAGATTTTCAGTGTGCAGCGGACTATCTCAGGTAGCATCTAATACTACCTGAAGCTAATATGTTTTGTGCAACAAAAGTTTCAAGAGGTCAAGTTAGAGGCGACTCCAACATTTATGGTTATCGGGCCAGATTTGGTGTGAATTATCACACACACACACACGCACTGGCCAGAGCTGAAGAAGTGTACAACCACCTAAGTTTGTGAGAAAACTTGCAAGGTATCCAAGAAGGAGAAATATATTGATCAAGAGGAGAAGGCGATAAGAGGAAAAGGAGTGACATAGAAATGTCTATATACAAGGTATTCCATTTTCTTCAAAATTTTACTTTATCTTTTGTTTTGATTTCAAATATGTCCCCAATTTCACACCTGATTTTGGTCAAAGTACCCAAAATCGGTTAACCAGACCCGGTATAGAGTCACACCCACACCCACGTTGTGTCGACATGGGTACCAAACCGTAAGTGAAGAGTCCGAGCGACTTAGACAACCACACCCTGACACATGGGCACCAAACCGTAAGTGAAGAGTCCGAGCGACTTAGACAACCACACCCTCTGTTGACATCCTATATCTGCCTTGACGTCTAGCATATCTTAAGCCTTTACAAGGGAGAAAATTTCTCCTTAGCAATCCTACTAATTTATCAGTGTAATAATTGTAGTTCCATACAAGAAGAGCGTAAGGGTCACTGTATTTGTAGGACGACATATTTATCAGCTCCTGCTTGTATGGCACCTCAAAGGGGAATAAATTGCAGATAAGACATTCAATGGTTGATAAACCTTAGACAAATTTTCTTATGTTTCAGTAAGTTAGCAACACCACCAGGGTCGTCATAGTTGGATAAAAGCATTTTTATCATTTACAAATCAATTAACATATTACCAACTATTAAATCACCTAATAAACTTTAAATCAAGTAAGTACATAAGATAGTAGAGTTCCTTCAATTCTAAAGAGTTGTGAATCTATATTGTATAATAAAATGAGAAAATGGTACAGGGCAGGGTCATTACCTAATTCTGAAGCAGCGACTCTCACGAACAGGTTTTGATCATTCTGGCTCACCTCTCTAATATCAATGAGTTCACCAAACCATAGTAAGCATCCACTTCCGCCATTTCTAACATCAAGATTTGAGTAGGCTGTACAATTGCAATCAGCCAAGCACATTTTTTTGCATTCTTCAAGGTTCATGCTCTGATTATACCAGGATTGCCTAGAATCCGGCATCTTAATACCCGTCATTTTAAGAAAATCATCTTGGTTACAAGCCAAAGAAGTTCTCCTTACACAACCACTAGACCAGTCCGCTGCATACCATTGATTAGGATACCTGTGAAGACATAATTAACTAATTAAACGTGCTCTCTCTAATAACTTAACATGGTATCGAGTAAATAGAAGGGAGCATATGAAGGCATTAATAAGTAACTAAAAGTGTGCTCTCTTTAATAACTTAAACTTTTATATGAGATTGTCACATATTTTAACAATACCTAGGCTCAAAACCTTGTAAACAGTCACATGGAGGAGAGTTATTGATGTTGCAACTTGCATAAGGACCACATAAAGCAAAACGATCACAAGTATCAGATTGTGTTGCCACGTAGAGTAACCAGCTGTGACTGCGCTCAATCCATGTTAGTTGATCTACCCGCCCAGCCTCGTTGATCACAATCCTGGTGGGCAGGGGCTCATTGAGCTCATATTTGAAGTAAATTTCCTGCTGATTAATGACAAACCCGAAAGTGTAATATACAGTTGGTTTAATTTTAGGACTACTACTAAATCCAATACCATTCCATGGCCCTGTGCTAAATGCTATAGACGAATTTTTCCACACGAAATATTGCGGGTATCCATTAGAATCAAGACGTTCCATATATTCACCAGGAGCAGGATCATCAGTGCTCTTCCATGACGATATGTACCAATCCATGCCCGTGACTAAATTACGTCCAAGCTTCATGCCAGGTAATAAAGTATTTCCTGGATAATCAAAACTCTGCCACGCGAAATTCATTTCTGGATCTCTGTCATTTCCATCACTGACAACAAGGTTCCCAGAATCCAGGAGCCGTGCTTTTGGATTCTTTAAGGATCTTGACGAGTTTGATGACCAAATTGAAGAATTGGAACTGTTGATAAGTACAAGAATTCCATTGGGTCTTAGTGTTAACACTCCTGAAGTGTCATTCAGTGGAATGTTTCTGTTGGCAACCCAGACGACAGTTCTAGGTGATATCTTCTTATACCATATGCCAACATACCGATTCTTGGAATTTCCAGGGCTGAAAATTCCAAGTTCATAAACTCCACCAGCTGAAACAATTGTGTCTCCATCTCTAATGGGTTTATCTATAGTGATCGTGTCTAATGCTGTGGAAATTAGTAAGATGGAAAGAAAAATGGAGCAAAAAACTAAAGAAGCTCGCCCTTTCATGGACTCTGACTCTTGCCTTTGATTTTCGAAAATTTAAAGCCTTAAAGTAGCTGACACAAAATAGAAAACAAATTCCTTTTTCATTGAAAAGGTAAAAAAAAATTTCTTCGTCCCACCTGGTTAGAATCAATAGCCATGTCCAATAATTTTCTATATAAAGAAAATGAAAGTTGAACTTTTGCATATATGAAATGTGAACCCCACCTATATAATATTCTGTCCCCTTTCTCCCTCCTCTCCCCCTAAATAGTAAGTACTCAGTACTAAAAATTCTTTTGGACCATTTTCGATGGTTCTTTATTCTATTGAGTTTAATTAAGTAATATAATTACATTATCAAGTCATTCAAAATTAATAAACATGTAAGCCTTTTTTAATATATGAAATTTATAATTTTAAAAATAAGATATATTACTTTCTAAAGCAGATAAAGATATTTGCTTAAACTGACAATGTATATTGGCGACTTCTCCCCAAACCCTGAGCTTCTCTGCTGAGAGGCATAGAGGCGGCTAAGAATTAGGATGTGATAGTCTAAACTTGTTCAAAGCTGTACGCCTTTGACCCCCTAGTTCAAGATTGATGCAGACAAATTTTGGCAAGCATCTAATGTTGGTATCAAAGCAATAAATACATGATGTGCTTGAATTATGTTGTAATATTTAATCTTGGTTAATTAATACTCTACCAAGAACGTATGGGAGAGAATATTAAAAGTAAGGGTGAGGAGGATGGTGTTTATATCCAATACGGAAGCTATATGCCTTATTAGGAGGTTGGTGGAACAGTACAGGAATAGGAAGAAGGACATGCATATGGTGTTTATTGACCTGGAAAAAGCATATGACAAGGTCCCTAGAGAGGTTTCTTGAGATGCCTAGAGGCTAAAGGTGTGTCGGGTGCATACATAATGGCGATTAAGGACATGTATGATGGAGCCAAGATCGGGTTGTGCGGGCGGG